TGGCTTTGACCGTCAAGGTTCCATGCTGAGACTGCAGCGGAAGCATGAAAGCCCACATGTTGTTTGCAATTCAGCCTGGAACCATGCGCACAGGGCGCTCTACAGTCCAACTTTATGGCCAGTTTTTGTCAAGGCATTGGGATCACATGTGGCGAAATCCTTTAACCTTTGGAGAGAAGGGGACATGGCGGTGTGCAGCCAAGGGTCCAATCACCTGGGCTGCGGCAGGAGATTCGCACAAAGCTGCAGGGCTTATACGGATCTCAAGCTTGCGGGCGGCAGATATTAGGCCTCGGGTTCCCGGGTTCCCAAGTGTAGTTCTACATTGTTGCATGGCAAACCATGAGAAGAACCAGGCCGACTGCCTTACCGCCAAGTACGAAGGCAAAGTCGCACCTCTAAAGACAAGCGAAGTCACAGTGAAGTCCCCAACCCTGCGACACTGCGTACAGGCCATCGATGTCGCTTTCGTTGGACACTTGGACCTTGGTGATTCAGTTTGGAGACTTGGGGATACAGTCTAAGGTGTAGGCTTCGTGGTTGTTTCAGTTTTGGGATTGGCGCGTCTCACTGTCAAGCGCTGCTTCCTAAACCCTGCCAGCACTGACCTCATCCTATGTAACGGGTCAATGGGCAAACAAGCCACAACGCAAGCGATCTTCCATGGAGTTGCGGCCGCCTCTGCGCAATGCGCAACAAGCAAGATTTGCGCGAGCCATCTGGGCATCCATGGCACAAGCGCATGCGGTTCGGGAGACAGGGGTTTCGGGCGTGGGGCTCACAGGATAATCGAAGAGAAAGACAGGCGCATGTGGCAGCATTGAATTTTGCGGGGCTGGAGCATATATTCCATGCTTGCTGCGAGCTACGCCACATGAGCAACAGCCGCTTCTGCTAAACGCAGTCAGAGTACGTGCATTATGGGGATTATTACTTGATGCAGGGCCATGTAGTGAAGCTTGGTTTACCAGAGCTACCTGGGCAAGCAATCCCCTTGTGCCGACCATATTTAAAATTTGATAGTGTGCTGTCTGAGCTGGACGAAAACTGCCTTGGCCAACGCCACAAGCGTTGCACTGAGTACCGAACTGGTAGTCACGTTGACTATCAATTTCAACATCAAGAACAAAAAACAACTACGGTATCATGTTGAGTCACACTCGCAATCATCACGAGAGTGTTGTGGCAAGGTGGGTAGCGACTGTCGGCAATGAGTCGTTGTCGTAGCAGTCGCAGTAGGCACTCAAAACTGTTGAGTTGCTGAGAAGGGTTTAGGGCTTAGGGTTTTTGGTAACCGACGTGAAGGGTTAAGGGCTGAGGTTTTAGGGGCCCGAAGTGAAGCGTGTCAGTTTGGTACAGCTCGCTCCCCTACTAAACTGGACCACTGCTGCTGCTCCTGCTCCTGCTCCTGCTCTGCTACTAGTAAGCATGGCCTTCGAGATTGTACACAACAATCCTACCGCCCGCCAATGAAGCCCCTGCTTACGGGCTTGAATTAGGATCCCTGTTGTATAACCCTCAAAGGAGGGAGAGATTTACCAGTGGTCTACTTTGACTGACTTCCATGAGATTGCCGAAGTTTCCAAAGGCGGGCCACGCTGTGTTCATTCTGCTTCTGCTTCTTCTTCTTCTTCTTGCAACAGCTTGCAGCCTTTGCAACCATAACGGTCGATATCAGCAACAAGTCCATGATCATGATCACTATCGTCATCATCACCACCACATGACGGACATAGAATAAGCGTCTACTCTCATCCAGGCTCTGCCCGACATCGTGAGCATCCGCATCACAGATTTCATCGTCCTCATAAGCAATACCATCATCGTCATCAGCATCATCATCATCACCATCATCATCAGCAGCAGCATGACCATCAGCATCGCTATCAGCATCACTATCAGCCTCACTATCATCATCATCATCATCGTCATCATCATCAACATCATCGTCATCATCATCATCATCTTCTTCTTCAACATCATCATGGCCAAGGTCCTTAACCAGGCTCGGGCCCACAGGCCCGTAGGAGCCCGCATAGAGCCCGCATAGAGCAGGTAGAGCCCGTATAGATCCCGTAGAGCCCGTGTAGAGCCGGAGGGCGGTGACAGCTTTGTTGTTGTCGTGCCGGGATGCAGACACGGCCCGCCGTAAAGGCCCGTAGAAGCCCGTAAGGACCCGGGCCTCTGATTAAGGACCCTTCTCATCAGCATCACTATATCACCATCACCATCACCATAATCTTCATCATCATCAGAATCATCATCAGAAGCATCGCCATCTTTGGTTCCTCATCACCATCATACACACCAACCAGTGTCACCATCATCCTGACCACGAGCATTAAAACCGCTGCGGTCATCGCCAGTATCCTTGAAAGTGAAGCTTGGCCTGAGCCCACGGCACCGAAATTGTCAGCAGCTTTGGCTTCGCATCCCAGCGCGAGGAGTGAAGTATGAGCACTCTTACTCTTACTGTTCTGAGTAGGATGGCTGTAGTCGCGACTACAACTTGACCAGGGCTGTTCCTGTTGTTTTCGTCTGCTGCTCGAAGCAGTTTGGGCTTACCGGTGTATAGTGGATCCGGAGGCGTCTCAACACCAAGGGTCTGGCCTTGCTAGAAGGTCTGCGTGGGGGGGTCGGAATTTCAATAAAATCCCATGCCTGCACAGTGTGGCAGCACCTGCCATCCCAGCTGTTGTGTTTGTGGAATCCTCCTGCCTGAGCTGCCCCAGTGCATCGTGACTAAGCTAGAGGACAATATACAGCCATCGGTGTGACTAACATGGTCCACTCCTGAGCTTGCAGAGCTGTGATTAAGCGTATAGGCCAGTGGAACTTCCAGCAGTCTTTCGACATGCGAGCCATGATGGCGGCCTGATGGCGGCAAAGCATGCATGAAGCTCCAGATGCTTGCCGAAGGACGGTGCGCTCACGCGCGCACGCAAGCGCAGACAGACAGCCAGACAGACAGACAGACAGATAGACAGACAAACAGACCGACGGACGGACGGACGGACGGACAGTCAGGCAGGCAGCCAGCAAGCCAGCCAGCCAGCCAGCCAGCCAGCCAGCCAGCCAGCCAGCCAGCCAGCGAGCGCGCCAGCCAGCGAGCGCGCCAGCCAGACAGACAGACAGACAGACAGACTAACAGACTAACCAACGGACGGACTAACGGACGGACAGACAGACAGACAGACACGCTGTATTGATGGAAGATCTGCACGAAAGAGTTGCATAGATCTCCTAAACTTTTAAATGCCATGCACACCGCCCGATCCAATCTCTTTAGGCGATCTGTGGCGATCGCAAGTCCTGCTAGTAATACTGCTCTTCAGCCGTGTTTGAAAGCCTTTAGTGACAAGCTGCTGCAGTGCCGTCCCGGTAGCGACAGCCTTCTGGTTGCTGTTGCTGCAGATCTTGCGATCTTTTTTTATCCGTGCTGCTTCTATGGCGGTGATGGTATCGGAGTTTGCGTTATCGCCAGCGCATGGCGAATGAACCTCCCTAAACCAAAACCCTAAACCCTAAACCCTAAACCCTAAACCTCAAACCCTGAATGCACCGCTTTTTCGAATGAGCTCAGCTCGGAGACGGGCCTTGCCGACTCAAAGCAAGGAGACCTACAAACCCTTGAACCCCAAGCTCCGAACTAAACCGGTAAGCCTTCAAGCCGCCATACCCTTAATTCCCTTTTTAAACCTCTAAAACCCTATAGAATCCAACAGGGCTTATCTACCCACGGCGGCGACCTTAGCGCCAGAAGTCGCAGGGCGGGTCCGGCAGTCCAGCGTCGAAATCTCAGTCGGTCGCACTGGGGCTTTGGGTCGGCCAAGGCTTCAGGGTCGACAGGGGCAACGAACGGTTTAGGGTTTAGGCTTTAGGGAGACCACTCGGAAAGTTGGCTGCTTCCCTCACTCTAATCTTGCGAGCCCTGCAGCCTTTCCTACCACAACATAACATATGCAGCTGCCACTCTGTGAACACTACAACCCTACACGCTTAAAGTCGCGGACAGAAACCCTTGAATGGCCAAATGCCAGCTAGAAGGCCTGGAAATTTCCGCGCAAAGAGTGTCAGGAGCTGGTTCTCGCGAGACTTGCATGCCTCCGAAACGGGAGCGCATCGGCAGTTGTCAGAATCGCCACTTTCAAAACCCCAGCCGTACTCGGATGACCGTTTCGATCATCACAACGAAGAAGAAGCACGATTGGCTCTCAAAAAGAAGTGCTTACGATGACGATGCTGGAGCTTCTGATGACCGGTCTTGCTCTGCTGACGACGATGACCGAGTAGTACTGCTGAAGATTCCGTCAAGTGCTGGACAGTATTATATGCTTGCAGTAGTCACTACCCCCTTTGCTTTGGGAAATGCTAGCGTGAAGTATGCACCAGGAAACGATTGAACACCCTACTTGCCATGAAGGAACAGCCCAGCAGAATTAATGAACGAGTGTTGATAGCACCCTTAAGATCGGCGCCGAATATCAGGTATACCCATGATGGGACTACTGAAAGTTGGCTTGAGGATAACAGTGCAGGACGCGAGGTCCAGGGCATAAAGACATATATGGTCTGACATCCGCTGTTCCCGGCCTGCTTGTCCTTCCTTGGCTCGTCGAGGCTAAGCTTTGTGATGGGGCTTCAGGTTTTTGGGTTTAGAGTTTCGGGGTTCAGAATCTCACATTAGTATTCCTTGGCCTTTTCGAAGACCGATCTTGTTTCTGCAAAGTTCTGCTGGGCTTGAGAGCAGGGGTTTTGCCTTTCTTGACCCTGCACTGCCCCAAGCGCCAAATACAACAACTGACAGGCTAAACAGCAAGAATCTTGCATCCACAGGCTGAATACACCAGAGCATCCCACGTCAAAGAAACCACATGGAGTGTCTTGAACTTCAGTGCACCTTACCCATGGGTCCTCATGATAAGGATCCCTTTCTTGGGAGTCTGTAATACATTAGGGTTCCTCATGTTTCCCGTACAGGCCATAAGCATGCGTCAGCCTCAACGCTGCAAACCGAAGACCCCCTGACCAGCACCATTCAAGTCAAGCTTCTTTCTCGCCCAGAAATTATTCGCTCCACCGGTGCCCGCATCCAGAATCTCATCGTAGAGATGGCCTGGCAATGCAGTATATGCCCTTGTCCTGTCTCGTGGTAAAGGATAACATGTCGCATGTGGCACCAGCTGTACAACAACCGGCATTCCAACCAGATTCAAACAATCTGCAACGGTATGCTCAGCAGATGCTCCATGTAACACGCAACGACAAGCAAAGAGACAAAAGCTGTCACAGTCGTTACCGTTCAGGTTAACGGGGGCAAAGGTTTGTCAGTGCAGTCATGTTAGATTTGAAACTGGCGATCTCTTCTCAATGCACTACGAAGCTAATCAGTCAGCTTGAGGGCCCTAAATAGCAGCGGTATGTACATGATGAACTCAAGACCAAGGCTTCAACGCTCAGAGAAACAGACAGTGATTCACATTACAGTGTCGGAGAAGCAGGGGCCCCAAAATAGCAAGCACTCAAAGGGACATCCAGCTGCCAGCCTCCTGCGTTCAACACCTGCTCGGCATTGACACCGGTGAGCTCGTCCAACATTACCTTTAGGCAGCGCATGCCCCAGCGTCGATTCAACTAAGCAGAAACTGATGCAAGAACGAAAACCCCCAATTTCAATAGATTCCGGATTCCCAGGTACGAACCCTCCTGCTACGGCCCTCAAAGGTGGGCGATGATCCTCCGCTACGTCAGCCCTTGAGCAGTCAAGAAAGATGCAGAAGAGATACGGAATTGAGGGCTTAGGCTTTCCGCTTCTTCAAATCGTGCCTGCGACTGCTACTCTACCCGGGATTTAAGGGTTTCGGCCCTTCCAGGTTTAGGGCGTCATAGAGTTGATCTTAAGCCCAGCACTTCGTACCCCAAACGTTCTCAAATCCTGAACTAGGCCCTAAACTCTAAAGCCTGTCCCCATGACCCATCATCACACCATACACTCCAAACCCTCTGCAACGCGCAGGGGAAAGCTTCACCGATCCTGGAAAGTTGTGGTGGACTTACTTTACTCTAAACCTGGCTCGTAGCTTTGCAGATGCTCTAAAAGGAACCACAAGGTCCCATGGTTTTTGGCAAGGGCAGCCAAGTCGGTAAACTCAGAGCATCGGACGCAGGTCTACGTCAAATCACGCTTGCAAATGTACAACTATATATAGATACACCACACTGGTGCATTCGGTATGGATGTTGCTGCAGAGTTCATTCATTCGGAAGGTTTGCTGGGAATTTTATGTTTGAGGCTTGATTCGCTCCGGGCAGATTGATGTCTGAATTGGCCGAGGAGCATAGCCAGCTGGCTCCACATGCCAGGTGCAGTCTGGCGTGCCATCAGGCTCGGGGCACTCTCCTGACAGGGCTTTCATTTTGTTCTAAAGAGGGTTGGGGCCTTGTAGTAGATCATCGCATGTGCATAAAACCCTCAAACTATCAAGTCTGAAGCACAAACCACGAGTTGCGTTTAGATGTCAAGAAATTCCGATCTGGGTGGAGCAGTGTTGAGTAATTGGAGCAGGTTTATGGGGCATGTTTTCAAATCATGCGGGGATCGTACGACCACCTATTCAGACCTCTGTACTTGCTAAATGAAATCCATGGTGTAAGACAGACCTGCTTCTGGGCTCTTAGCCTGACTTGTGCTTGTATTGTCGCATACACACACACACACTCACATATATATATATGTATATATACACACACACAAAACCATATACTAAACATACATACACTTGCATCCATCCATCCATCCATCCATCCATCCATCCAACCATCCAGCCGTCCAGGCATCCAGCCAGGCGCACACACACACAGGCATGCAAACATACCAACAGACAAGACAGATAGAGACAGACCGACAGACAGACAGACAGACAGACAGACCGACCGACCGACCGACAGACAGACAGACAGACAGACACACCGACAAGTATAAGTATGAAAGTGCACAGGTACGTACACACGCACAGGGGAAGTACGGATCAGAATAGGTTGGGGTGCGGGGTGTAAGCTGCACTAGCTGTGATCAGTTCCCCCCCCCAGCTCTTCAGACTCCTATTTGCATTTGACCTGAGCTGCTTAAGCTTCCAGCTTCAAATCCTTTCGCCGCCCTAAACACCTGAACCCTCAACCACACCAAGCTAGACCCTAAACCTTCAGCCCAAAAGATCCACTACAGTACCTCATCGAAAGAACAAACAAAACCTCTTAGCTTGCTCCAATCTCAGCCCCTTTGAATGGTCAGCGTCTAGGTAATGTGCGGGAACTCACAAAAGCCCACAATCCTTCAACGAACCCCTCCCTAAACCCTAAAACCCTAAACCCTAAACCCCTAAACCCCTAAACCCTAAAACCCTAAAAACCCTGGTTTCGTAGCCTAAGAAGAAGGTCAGAGTTTGGAACTCAATCGGGGCCTCCCTGCCACTGCGCTTTGCCTGGCTCAACAAGGGCATCCTAAAGGGGTGCCTTTATTGGCGTGTGTGTGTATACATATATATATACATACATATATACATATATATATATGTATATGAACACTGTAAGAGATAATATGAGTCGATTTTTCATATCCTAAGAGGTACCTTTCATTGGTATTTACGGGTACTAGAAGAGACAATATGCGTCGATTTTTCAGGGTTCAACTACGTGGGGGGTTAGGGCTGCGAGACAGGGCTTCAGTTCGATCGAGGGTTTGGGGTTTAGGGGGGTCTCCGAGTTCGCCGCTAGGAAGCTTTAAGCAGGTTGTTTCCTCAGTTTCTGATTCGATCTGTGCGGTCCAGGCCAAGGATCAGATTGTCGGGAATTCCGGTTCAGCTTGCTTTTGGGATCGGGGCGACAAGCCAACTCATTGCGAAACGCCGCTTGCTGAACACTAAAATCTAGATGCCAATCTTCTTCAGTTTCGGCCTTCACGCCGTCGTTGGGGTCACAGGGTTATGGGAAGGGGGCACGGGGCATGGTTTGAAACGCTGGCAGCATCATTCTCTCGAAGTTCTTTCGGGTTTGAGGAAAGAATAACCAACTTGAGCAAGCCTGAACCCGACACCCAAAGCAATGAACCCTCAATCGCCCAAAAGCCCTAAACCACAAATCCTGCTTAACAAACCTCGAACCAGTAGACCCCCTGCCCCATCAGACCTCAAATCCACAAACCGAGAAGCATGCCGCAGTCTTCTTTGCACCACCCTGGGGCGAATCGTCCTTAGCTGCCATGGTTATGAATCCGATGACATGCAAGACTCCTTTAGCCGGCTTTCCCTAACCCTCCAGGTACCTACTATGTAGGGCCCTAGGGGTTCTAGTACCCTATATAGTAGGTACCTTAGGGTTTGACTGCGAGCCCTAAAAGGATTCAAACATTAACTTTCGCAAGTGGTATCGCCACAAGGTGGTAAGTTCGAATAGTTTTGTGTAGACGCTTTTATGGGCCCTCATAAATGCCTGCTCGAGTCCCGGAAGAAGCCAAAAATAAATGACTAGAACCTTAACCCTAAACCCTAAACCCTAAGAGTCTTAACCCTAAACCCTAAACCCTAAGAGTCTTAACCCTAAGCCCTAAACCCTAATTAAACCCCAAACTTACGGGGGGCCGTGGGGAACCAGGCAGCCGAACAGCACAAGCCAACACCCAAAGGACAGCAGAAGCTCTCAGGTCCAAGCCGCAGTGGCTTGGGGTTTTACGGTTTAGGGTTTAGGGTTTAGGGTATAGGGTCTAGGGTTTAGGGTTTAGGGTATAGGGTCTAGGGTTTAGGGTTTAGGTTTTGGGGTTTAGGGTTTAGGGAAAACGCAAAGGCAGGACATCGGAAACCTGAAGATTTCTCAACCCTCAACCCCAAACTGCTGCCAACAAGACCCTACGACCCAATCCAGAACACGATACAAACCTCTCCCACATCGCCCGGGATGGTGTTGCCGAACATCGAAACCCTAAATCCGAAACCCCATATCTGTTAACCCTACTCCCTGAAAACATAAACACTAAAGGAACCTTGAAACCCTAAGCCAGAAAGCAACCTGAATAGCGCCCTAAATCCCTAAACCCTAAACCCTGAACCCTAAACTCCCTAAGCCCTAAGCCCTAAACCCTAACCCTTGCAAAGTCTCGGTGAAGGGCATGGAGGGGCAGGTTCCTGGGTAGGAGGTCCAGTAGCCACCTGAAGATGCCAGGGGGTTTAGGAACAATAGGAGGGGACCCTTAACTTAAAGGGACCCTTAAAGGGCTACAGAGGGGGTTTAAGGTTTAGGGTTTAGGGTTTAGGGAGCAATGGGAGGGACCCTTAAAAGGGACTAAAGGGCCAAGGGACTAAAGGAGAGTTTAGGGTTTAGGGGTTTAGGGGTTCAGGGTTTTAGGGGTTTAGGGTTTCGGGTTTAGGGTATCAAGGGACTAAAGGAGGTGACCCTTGAAGGGACCCTTGGGGCTACATAGGGGCTTTATGAGACTATATAAGGGGTATATAAGGGTTATATATAGGGTATTAGGATTCAGGGTCCCTTCTAGGGGTCTCTCCTTTAGTCCCTTGACAGGGGTTTAGGGTGCCCTCAAGGGCTGCGCTGCGTTCCTCTGAGGGCTTTGGTTTAATATTATAAAGGGTTCCTGTTCAGAGTCAGCTTACAGCTCTTTCACTGGCATTTATATCACGCTTGTATTGCGCTTTAAAGTGCCTTGCCGGGGTTTATAGGATGCAACGCTTGGGCTTCATGACGCAAGAGCTAAGTTTTGACCTTCCAAACACCAAACACCTAAGGCTAAGACCTCTAGAGCCTTGAATTGAGCCCTGTGCCCCAACATCCCAGTGTTTGAGACCTACCCCAAGCGCCATTGACGTGTAACCGAAACCGTTAAGCACTCATTTAAGGGCCGATTTCGGGCTTAAGGAACTTTTTCGGGTGCCCTTAAAAAGGCGTAAAGATTTAGGGGCTTAGGGGCTTAGGGCTTAGGCCGGGTGAGGGAATCAGTCTCCTTCAGCCCAGAAGCCCGACTCACTGAGCCTCCGAAAGACCCACCCTGGACCCTAAACCCTAAACCCCTAAACCATCAACATCTGTAGCTTACGAATCCCGCAAACCCTTAAAGCAAAGAGACCTCCCATAAAGCTCTAGAAGTTCGAATAAAATGGAAAAGCCTTATGGAGCCAAATGACAAAGCCTAACAAAAACCTGTAGGACCCGCCTGCGAATGAAGGCCTTCTAGCTGTCTTTCTGGCACCCCCCAACGGCCTTCGTAGCCTGAAGTGCCCTCCGGCACAGGCTGGCAGCCAACTTCGAAGCCTGACAAGTTGCGGCATTTCAGGTGCAGGAACTGGGGTTTACCTTCTGCCTAAACCCTAAACCCCTAAATCCTAAACCCTAAACCCCTAAGGGGTTTACCTTCTTGCAGCTCAAGGCTTCGATGCACAGCCATACATACAGGGAGCAGCTGGAGGTTAGCATCCTAAGCCCTAGAGACCCTCCATTATAACTTATAGATCCGTAGGAACCCTAACTACTCAGTCAATGCACCACGGGGAAGATGTCGGCTTCTACGTTTTGCCTCACTGCATCGCGTGTCTTCCTCAGAAGGACCCTGCAGCTTGCTGGGCTGGTTGTGCCGAAACGGGTGGGCATCTGCCATCCGATGTTCAATGAAAGTCTAAGAAGATAAAGCATTTGGTGACGAGGCTCAGACAGCGATTGCTTCAAAACGAGCCGAACGTCAAGGTCACTTTCCCTTATCAGGCAGTTGCTGTGCTGCTCCTGACAAGCTTCGACTCTGCTACTTCCGGAGCCACCTCAACATCACAAGCTTCCAGCTCCCTTTTCGCTCCTGGCTGTGCCTGTGTCGCCAGGTAGCTGCAAAGCCTAATGTCAACAGCAACGATATCCCAATGAGCTCGGGACGGAAGGCAAGCTTCGTTCCACGGTTGCCGGAAAAGGTGCTGACAATACTCTCCTTTGCCGTTTCCATCTGAGCTTGGACGGCCTGTGCTCCGGCATTTTGTGTCCAGCTCTTTTCCAGCAGCGACGATGCACTCTGAAACCAAGAGCTTACGAGGCATTGGCTGCGCTGCAGAAGCGGAGATGCGCGCTCAGCCATAGAACCCGCCACGTCCCAGCATTGCTGCAAGTGTGAGCAGGCCTGTTGCACCCAGGACAAGACGCAGACACCACCGGCAATCGTGGCACCCAGTTTCAATGTCGCAGGACGTTTGATCGCCTCCCACGCCATCGTCAACGCCATCTTCAGCATCATGGCTGGACCAAAGCTAGGGGGCCAGGTGATTTGGCCGATCTTGACGAGCCGCTTGCGAGCCAAGCTGAGGCCATAGTAGCTTAGTAGCGGCTAGTCCTGTGTGTGAGCACTCATGTTGTATAGGTTCTGCCAAGACGCACGGACAACAAATCCACTCCTGACTGCAGTATGTATCTCTGAGAAGGACTGCAGGCACTTCTGAATCCCAAGTTAGTGCATGACAGGTTTCGGGCTCCGGGGAGCATGCAGATTTCAAGCCGAACCAGTTCACACCCGAGCTCCACCAACGAACTCTCCCCGAGAAAGGCCAAAGCAAGCCCATCTAAAGCCCAGGTCCTGCCAACCCAGACTACTCCGAAACCTTGAGCCCTTCCACTTTCTACATACTAACATATTCTATCATGTAAGGTTATATATATATACACGTAATATCATATGTATAGATACACATAACAACATATATATATATATGTATATATATACATCCATCCAGGCATGCATGCATGCATGCA